AGCGGGTGCCCGGGGACTGGAGCAGCATCACCATCACGGAGCTGGAGGCAGGCGTTGCCTACAATGTCAGCGTCTACGCAGTCATCAGCGACGTCTTGAGCATCCCTGTTACCTACAAGGTGATGACCAGTAAGTATCCTACTGCACTTGCTGCTTGGTACCCGGATAACCAGAGGTGATGCTGAAGCTGGCTCGCATTTTCCATAAAAACCTTCTAGCAGCAGAAACTTGAGCCTTCGGATATTTTTATCCCCATTTATATCTGTATGGGTGTACGGGAAAGGGGGAAAATATGTCCACCCTCTGCAGAAAGACTCAATCTTGATGAAAACCCCAATGAATAAAATCAGTGTTTGATTGAAGCCCCCAGAATACGGCCCAAAATACTACACTCTGTTCCTCATAGAAAATATTGCATTGTATCATAGAAGTCGCACATTCTCCTGGCACTCCTGGAGAGGTTCCCCGTGATGAATCCCCAAGATACGGGCAATAGCACAGTGAGAGGGGATGCTGCCGCACATCAGGAGAGATGCAGTCCTGACCGGGACCGTGATGCGCAGAGGAAAACAGGAGTATCAAGCTGTAATGGCAACCCCCAGAAAGGATCCTCAGAAACTAAATATACTGAGGGCAGGGGGAAAACATAAATTATCCAGACACCCCTTTGGCAACCCTATTGCTCGCTCCGTTCGCACGCTAACGCAGTGGGATGCTTTGGTTTCCAGCAGCTCAGGCATTTCCCTCTTCTCCCTCCAACCCACCCAGATAACGAAATGGCCACAGGGAGCGGGGTGGGGACTGGCAGCACCCGCACACCTAGCCCGATCTTCTCACTACCTCCTGCTGCCTTCTAGACCTTGCCACACCGCAGGGGCTGAAGTTCAAGACCATCACGGAGACAACGGTGGAGGTGCAGTGGGAGCCCTTCTCCTTCCCCTTCGATGGCTGGGAGATCAGCTTCATCCCCAAGGTATCGGCGCTGCACACATGGCATTGCGGGGTACACCCAGTCACCCTAAAAGCACCGAGAGCAGATCCTACATTAGCTTCCACTTAGCCCCCCCCAAAAAAAATACAACCCGATCTTTCTTTGTGATTTGTGTGCTTCACATCAGACAAATCCAAACACCTCAACCTCCAACTGCCAGCTTGCGTTTCCTCAGCAGTCCTTGGTGTCAAGACATAGATGTCCTGAAAGAAATTCCCCAATAAAATCAAGAGACGAGCATATAAATAAGTAAACACTCCAGCCTCTCTGCCTCTTGCTGTCACCCCCTCTTTTTCCCTTCCATCTCCTTTGCCTTCCTCGTCCCACTCTTCCTCACCCCCGCTCTCAGCACGCTCAGCTCCCCAAAGCAGCCCAGATCGAACCGAGCAGCCACCAGCTCTCAGACAACAACCTTCAGCATCTCCGAGTCACACGCACAGCTAATTCCTGCCATGGAATTTTAATCGCGGTGATGAACAGGTAGAATTTGTGCCAGGAAAGATGAAAGGATGAAAATGTTGCCCTAAATATCGCAGATTTTCTTATGCGCGGTAGCAAAAATTGCACATCGAGTATTTCATCTATATTCATAATTTCTACACCATTTAGCCACAAGTACAGCTTCAATTGTATATGGAGCCTCTTCACAAGAGCATTCAAGCTCCAGCAGTAAAAGAAATGCTGATTAAGGGCTCAATTATGCCATTTTCACTTCTACAAAACCCTCGCTGGAGTCCAAGGCAGCTCTGGGCAGTGGAGAACTGCAGAACTTGGCCCCAAAGTTTTAAATGCTCTTCACTGTAAAATACTGTTATAGAGCATGAAACAAGGGCCTGATTGCTTTAAACAGCTCATTCCCTCACTCCCCAAAAAGGTTGGAAGGATCTGGGTGCAGTTTTGGGTACATCCACAGGCAAATTGTGTCAGAAGGCAAAGTTCAGGTGTGACAGGTATAAGCCCCAGGGTAATTTTCCTTCAGTGTCCGGATAAAAGCTGAAACGATAAGGCAACGTCAGGGAAGAGCTTTCGGTAGAAAAAATTAGCTGTCTTTCAAACGTTTCACTGATATTCAGGAATTAAGCTCAACAGCATCCCCCTGAAGCAGATAAATGGGGATATATCTGTTTTAGGGTGAGGCATCACTGGGATGGAAGCAACCAGCCTACACGGTCATCAGTGATAGGATTTTCTCGCTGATAAACACAAACTGTCGGCCCCGTTCCTGTTTTTAAGCTTAAAACTTGCAGAAGAATTTCAGAACGTAAAGGAAGAGATAAGGCACCAAAGGATGGCTGTTCCTGGATGCAGGTTTTTGGGATGGGGAAGGGATGCAGCTCGCTGGGCTTCGAAGTTCTCGCATTCATTGGTCAAGCACGTGGTCCTGCGTAAAGACACAGCCGTGCTTCTGCCTGTTTGCTGCCAAAACTGGGCTCTCTCAAAACTCCGCCGCCAGCTTTTCTCCTAAAATAAGGCAGAGGGTGCTGTCTGCTGCACTGCCTGGGAGACACACTTGTTCGGGCAAACGCTAAACCATCGCCGCACCCCAGATAAAACCAAAACCTGGTTCCAGAGGCAACAATGTGGAAAAAACCCAGAGCTATAACAGCAGCATCGCAGGTAACCTCTACAAGCAAAACTGAGCTCACGCTGCCTGCCTGAAAACCAGGCGAGAGGATGCTATAGTGTGGGGCTCCGCATCCCCGGGAGGATGCTCGCACCCTCCCGCCGAGCACCCCTCCTTCGGCGGTCCCCGCGACGCGCTCGCCCCCCGAAAGCCGGCCAGGAGGGGATCGCCTGCCCGCTTCATGTGCTGGGGATGGAGCCGGGGACAAAGACAAAGCAAAGACAGATTAAGGAAAGAAAATTAGGAAATGTAAGCTGGCAATTTAGAGCTAAAATGGAAGATTTCCTGTTTAATGAGCAAAGAGATGAATATGAATGGCGAGCTATGTGCAAAGATTTGTTTAGCGTGTTACTAGTGAAGACAGCAGCAAGAAAAGACCCTTTGTCCAAACACTGGCAGGAAAGGTGACATTTGCAGTTGCTTAAAGCCTTACAGTTTTTCAGAGCAAAACCACGACGTATAATGAGTTTAATAAAGATACTTAAAAAGCAGGAGATGGCAGAATAAAGACCTTACAGTTTCATACCTATAGATGAACAACAGAAGGCTCCTGGCACCTGAATGGCAGGGAAAAGGAGTTCAGCTCAGGCTTTGCTTTTCTTATCTTTTCTCTTTTGGATGACAGCAGACGTACAGACAGCAAAATACAGACGTTGGGGGCAGGCGGGGGGGAAGAAGGGATGGAGGAGGATTTCTCAGACCAGCGACATGGGTGCTCCACGCTTAGTGGGTGGCTTCACCCTGGGTTTCTGCACCTCCGTGGTGGGATGTGCCAGGGGGAGGATGGGATCTGGGAGTGCAGAGCTGGGTGTGGAAGGATGCAACGTGGGGGTCATCTCCCCGCCATGCATCATTTCCCCCAAAAATACCTCTTTTTTTTTGTTTTGTTTTCTTAATGCTTATTTCCGCTCCCTGGCAGAATAACGAGGGCGGCATGATCGCCCAGCTCCCCAGCACCGTCACCACCTTCAACCAGACGGGGCTGAAGCCGGGGGAAGAGTACACCGTCACCGTGGTGGCCCTGAAGGAACAAGCCAGGAGCCCTCCCACCTCTGACAGCGTCTCAACCCGTGAGTGAGCTCGACCTGGGCTCTGCTTGGTCCTCAAAATAAGGTCCCAGCAGCAAGAGTGGCCCGGCACTGCACAGGCAGGGCTAAAAGCATCACCATCCAAATGCCCAAGCTACAGGTGCATCGCAGCAACATCTTCTTCATGCGGTATTTTTTCCCTCTCCCTCCTGAATCACAGAATCACAGAATGGTAGGGGTTGGAAGGGACCTCTGTGGGTCATCTAGCCCACCCCCCCTGCCGAAGCAGGGTCACCTACAGCAGGCTGTAGAGGACCTTGTCCAGGCAGGTCTTGAATATCTCCAGAGAATGAGACTCCACAACCTCCCTGGGTACAGAAACCGTGGCAAGGTTAAAGGGTTTAAAGGGGTTGGGAGCGAAGGCTCCTGTCCACTTTTATTAGCTAGCTGGATAAATTCCTCTTCTCTGCTAATCTCACTCTTCAGAAGCTGGATGCCCCCAAAAAACATCTCTGTGAATGTATTGCCCACCCATATATAACAGATTAGAACTCCCACCTGCTTTTGTGCCACTAAATGGTCTCTGATCCCACCAATTCAGGCAAATCAGGCAGCAGGGCAGGGAGCCAGGGGCAATGGTGCATCCCCTCCACACCAATTTATCCAGCCGGTCACTGGTTCGTCCCGTAGGCTAGAGGAAATTCAACTGGGTCTTCTCCTTGCCGAAGAGGACATGGCGATGGGAAGAGCTCGCTGGGGAGAAGAGGCTCTCCATGCCTGATCTGCTGCAATCTGCTTTGGCAGCCAGGCAGACGTCTACCTCCATTCAAGCTGTTGCGAACGGAAACAGCATTTAAATAGCTGCCAGAGGGTTGTAACGAGGTGATGCTTTCTCCAGGCTGCTAATTTGAGGCAATGGTGAGAGCAGCGTGGAGCGAAGGGCGGGTCCCTCCACCAGCGGCAGCTTGCCGTGGGTCTGAGCTTCCTCGGTCCTCTCCTCCCGCTTTGCCTCCGTGCTCAGCTCGACATGGCTTAACAGAGACATCTCCTGGTCAAGCCCAAATGTTCCTTTCCCTAGAAAGCCAGCAAAAAATAAAAAAAGAGGCTGGTACTTCAAATTCAGCAGTTGACCTTTGCAGGGGAGCGCAGAGGGAGTGGTGGGCTCCCAGCTCTCTGCTCTGTGAAGGCGTCCCCGTGCTGGCGTGTCTGCCTTCCTCTGCAGCTCCTCTGTAGCTTTTCCCTCATCATCCTCATTCTGCTTCAACACCTTGTGCTGGGATCGAGCAGCAAAGGCATAGTTTCATGCTGCACAGCCAAATAGAACTTGATGCTCCCCAGCATCCTCAATGACTGGACAACATGAGGTAGTTGGAGGTTCAGGGTTTGGATGAGCTGCTCCTGGCCAAGCTGGACACCCAGTTCCTACCTAAACACCCCGTTTCCCAGCCATCCTCCCTTCTCCATTGGGGTTTGGTTCCCAGACCTCACCCCACTGCTTCCAGTTGCCCCACTTGTCTTTCCGCATGCTCCCTGGTCCTTCCCACCCCTGCCCATGCCCGTCTCCCCCAGGACTTCACCCCCTGGGGTGCAGCATTCAGTACATCCTCATTACACAACGTCATCTAACATATACCGTAGATTAGATGTCCTTCCATGCAGCATAGCCTGAGTTACAAGACCAGCGTGGGGTTTTTTCACCCACCTTGTGACCATGTAAGTGATGAAAGAGACTGCACAGTAGGCTCTGTTCATCAATGCTGCCACGGCAGAGGAGCAATTTCCAGGCTTGGCCCGTCCGTTCTTCTGTCCATGCAGCGGTTAGGTCGTGCTTGGACTGACTGCATCCACCACCTGCTCTTGAGCCTGTGATTTCCAGAGGGGAATGTGGAGGAGGAAAGAGCACAACTCTCTGCAAAAGAAAGCAGAAAAGTCCAGAATAGTCCCCCAGTAGATCCCTGGTATGAATTTAGCTAAAAGCTCTTTATCTGAGAGGGCTTGACAGACACCCTCCATAGCCCCACTCCCAGCTGGTTATGAAGACTCACCAGAGCTGTTGCCTTTTCTCCTCTCTCACCACAGCTAGGACATTAACAGCTTTACAAGCTGATCCCTCAGATTAGCTGCAAACCAGGACCTGGCACCGAAGCAGGAACATTTCTAGAGACGTTCCTCAGTTCTTGATGCTTGGATCAGTCTTTGGCCCCATGTGATTTAACACCTTGTCAATGCCTTTCAAAAGACATAACATCATTGCTGATAAATTTTGCCAGTGATGGAAAGGTTCAGAAAAGAGTAAACTGAGTGGAAGGAGATCATCGATAAAAGCGGTCTGAAAGGCTTGAAAAGCTGGGTGCAACGGAGAAGTGTATGTTTTTCAGTTTATGGTGAAGTTAGCTAAGAACAAAGAAAATGGACCAGAGTTAGATGTAGGAGGTTTTACCCTGAAAGATGCTGCCTGAAAAAGTCAGGGAGGAATTGTGGCCAATAACCAGCTCGAGAGAAAGGTGTGAGTTGCACTATAGCTGTGCTGGGCATCGATAGGAAAGCTGATGGGTTCTGCTCTGGTGTCCACAGCTCGGAAGAGACATCGGTGAAGTGGAGGAGATTCAGGAAAGCGCTGGGAGACTGGGACAAGGGACTGGGAACCCACCTGAACCAAATCCCCTGAGCACCTTGGGGTGAGGGGCTCATGTCCCTTGCCCGTGTCACCTCTCTGCATCATCCCCAACTCCTAATTTGGGCCACTCTGAAGGTTGAGTAGAAGCATCCCTGAAGCTTGGTGTCCCCAAAGCCACCACCCTTCCCCACCCAACTCTCCCGAAATAACAGACGCCTGTTTCCACCCCTCACTCCGCAGTCATCGACGGCCCAACGCAGATCCTGGTGCGGGACGTCTCCGACACGGTGGCCTTCGTGGAGTGGACACCGCCGCGCGCCAAGGTGGACACCATCCTGCTTTTTTTTTTACCCCCGCGCGCCAGGGTGGACACCATCCTGCGGAAGTATGGGCTGGCGGACGGGGAGGGGGGGAGGACCACCTTCCGCCTGCAGCCCCCCCTCAGCCAGTACTCCCTGCAGGCCCTGCGCCCCGGCGCCCGCTACCACCTCGCCGTCAGTGCCCTCCGGGGTGCCAACGAGAGCCGGCCGGCCCTCGCCCAGTTCACCACAGGTAGCTAGCTGGCTTTGCTGGGGGAACCGGCACGAATTTTTAAGCCTCCAGCAAGCGTGGGCAGATGGCTTGCTGCAACCTGCGGATGGGCTGTCCTGCAACAAGCGTGGGGTTTTACATATCTCGAGCCAAACTGAGGTTTTCTTGCATCTGGGATTTAGTGGTGCCTGGTTTTCCTCTGGCGTGAGTGAACTGGGGTTTAATCCAGTGTACTGGGATGAGGCAGCACAAAGAAAACACGATGGTTAAGATGCAGGTCTGAATGGAGACACCTGAATGCAGGTGCCTCGCATCCCGTCGCAGTCCTGGTGCAGAGCAAGGCAGAGCAAATGATTCAGCTCACCCTAAAACACACGTGCACAGCTCAAGCCACCCTCTGCCCCCCCTCCACTAGCGCTTACATTTCTGTTCAGTCCCTAAGCCACCAGTGCAATGGGTCTCCACCATGGCCCGTGCCCCAAGGGAATGCTCGCACGGTCCCCAGGGCAGCCCAGGTGACCCCAGATGCCAACAACGAGGCAGATGACTCCAAAACCTGCATTTAGACGATAACCCCTGAGCAAACTCCACCACAGCATCAAGGCTGAACTTGCTGCTGCCTGTGACACACGTCCCCACCACCTTCAACGCCCGTTCAGACCCACAGCTTAGCTTGAGCCCGTGGCTAAAACTTGAAAATCCAGCAGCTCACACCCTGAACAGCACCCATAGATCAGCATGCAATTCTCAAAAGCACCAAAACTGCAAGCGCAGGTCTGAATTCAAGGCGATGCGCTCTCCCACCCGGCGTCGAGAGCCAAGGCAGATGCGTTGCCTGAGGAATCGGCAATCAAGCGGCTGAAAGCAGCCCAGTCATCTTATTTTATATCTTCTCTGAATACTCTGACTGGTCGGTAAAACTTTAATTAATGTTAAGCCTGCAGATAGCTAACAGGTTTAATTTACCGTGCCATAAAGGAGGAGGTAGAGCGCGTATTTCAGTGCATTTATGGTATATAAATGACTTGTCATGTACGTTACTGGTGGATACTAGGCTCCCATTACGATAACTGCGGCGTGTGAATTTTGTGTGTATATATCTCTATAGATATATATTTCGGATGAGATGTTCACCCCGTCTGATTTGCTGTGTTGGCCTCCCTTGCTTTATTCCTAGAAGGCAACATAAAAAAATCCCCCCCCTAAACCCAGGTCCATTAAGCAGCAGTAATTACCTCCCCCCAGTCTGCTGGCACCCAGCCCCTGCCTGGCACCAACCCGTTGCTCACAGGAGAGGTTTATCATGCAAATCAGAGCAGATTTGGGGCACAGGCCCAGCAGCACTAATAAACCAACCCTTTAGGCAATGTCTGAGCTTGAATGAGCCTGTGAAGATGCTCAAGGTTATTCTAAGAGCAGTTCAGGCCAATGCGTGACTGCTGCAGAGCCCTTTTGATCTTATGCACCATGCCCCAGTTTCCCTTACTCTAAAACAGGGGGCAAACACTTTTCTTTTATAAATAACACGCAATTAGCTCCTGAAGTGAATTACTGAGGGATGCTGTGAACACCCCAGCGCTTGCGTGGATCTCGTGGGTGGCATTTCCAGGGTGGCATCCGGGGAGGAGAGACCACACGTGGGACAGCACAGGCATCGCTCTCCTGGGTACCCTTCTGCTGCCAAGGCTACGGGGTGGGTTCCTGATGGCCGGCGGTGAGACGGAGCCTCTCTCCCTTGTGTTGCGCAGAAATCGATGCCCCCAAGAACCTTCGGGTGGGCTCGCGGACGCCCGCCAGCCTTGAGCTCGCGCGGCCGCCCGCCAGCCTTCAGCTCTCCTGGGACAACAGCGAGGCCGAGGCGCACAGCTACAGGGTGGTCTACAGCACCCTGGCCGGGGAGCACTACCATGAAGTCCTGGTGCCGCGGGACACCGGTCCCACCACCCGGGCCACCCTCGCAGGTACGCGTGAACCCACGTGCCCTTCCTCCCCATCCTCCTCCTCCTCGCAATGGAGAGTCCTAATCAGCACTGATGCTCAGTTGCCTTTATGCTGGCACATATTTGAGGCTCTTTTGAAGCTTACTACTTACCAGAGAGAAGGTTTTCCTTGGGTTGAAGCTCATTTTCCCCTCTGTGTGTCCAGATTTGGGCGCTGCTTATCCACGAGCTGCGTGATGTGCCTCCAAGCGATGTGCTTCCGAGTGATGCACCTCCAGCAAGGGTCTGTCCAGGTCCCAGACAGAGCCAGCAAGCAGCAAAGTGAGAAATGGGGAGAGGAAACCTTTTTAGGCAGATCTAGAGGAAAATATTGCTTTACCCTTCTTTTTTTTTTCTTGCTGGGAAAGAGCTGCAGGTGCCGATGCCCTATAGGCAGCGATGGGGATCCAGGCTGCCTGAGTTCCTTGCCTTTTTCCAAATGGGGCAGAAAGCAGGCTCAAATCCAGGGATGCTATTTTTGAGCAAGGCCCTCAAGCGGTACGTTAATCAGGCCAGCGCAGGGCTTGCCACGGGGACTCCAAACACCAGCCATCTCCCACTGCCAGGAAAGACCCAAACACCCTTTGCAGCAAAACCATGAAGCACCGTGTGACATCTGGTTTCCTTTTTTTTCAACTAAAACTGCTTGCCTGACAGATCTGCAGTTCCGGTGGCCATTTTTTGAGCAAAGATGAGACTGACTTACACACAAAAAACATCACTCATTCAGCTTGAAGCTCTTCAGTATGGCAGGACACCAGGTTCTTCCACCTTGACTCTTGTTGCCCTCCTGGGACCTCTCCAGCCCGAAGATGGCTCAGGCACCTCTGCCATATGGACCTATAGGAATAAATTCAGCGGGAAAGTTGAATGCAAAGTTACAGGCACAGCAGCACCGAGTCATGAGAAAGGCTGGAGGGCAAGAAAGAAATCAGAGAGCAGTTAGCTTAAAGAATGTGGTGTGTGGAAAAAAGAAATGCTAGGGGTAGTTTCTGCTGTGTTGGTGATGAGGACATGCGTGGAGAAGCGGGGTAAGATGGAGGGGGACAGCAAGGGATCAGAAACTGAGTGCTGGTCCCCTGCTAGCTTTCCTCTAGGCATTTACTGCTGTTCTAGCTGAGAAGAAGCATTAAAAATGGGCCAAATCCTCCTTCCTGGGGCAATGGTGCAATACAACCCCAGTGACCCACACTGCGATGACACCCACGGCAGAGCCCGAGCTTGCTTTAGAGGAAGAGACAGCGTGAAGACTCTCTTTTATCTCAATAAAAAGAAAAAAAGCTGCCAGGTAGAGACCTGGCAGCACTGGCGCTGCTGCCAGACTCAGGCAGGGCTACAAGGAACCCCCCCCTGGAGCAAGCTCCAGAGATGCAAAGGCTGAAGTCCATAGCAGTGAGCGATTTTTACATAGTGCCTCTATCATCATATAAGTGCACTGCTTCTAGCTCCCAGGGTACAATGCAATAAATGAGCCAAAATTAAAAAAAATCTAATTAGAGCAGAAAATAACCCAAAAAATATTCTGCTGCCAAAAATATGCCACGATAGCCATAGTGTGGATGGCACATGAGCCTCTCCCATAGCTCCGTTACGCACATGATAGCCCTGTCCTCCAAGGTCTTGCTGCACAGGGTGCAAAGTCCACCGGGGTGGGTTTCCAGCCACCTGGGACCTGGTGGGATCCGCAGCGTAAATGAAACCAGCGATTCCTTCAGCTGCCTTCATCTGCCTGCAGGAAAAGCAGTGAGGAATGGCGCTGAGCAGGTTTATCAATGATTTAATCTTAAAAATAAAGCAAGCCTGGCCCCACCTCATACGTCTCTCTTCAAAATCAGCAGTTGCACAGAAATATCTGTAATTTTGCTCTACTCAACAGAGCTCGGACAGAAAAAGCATCGTTTTATAAGCTTCTGCTCATTTCTTCCTTCTCCTCCCCCTTTCTCCCAGGCTGTTGTCCTTCTTCCCAGCATACTTCTGACACTTATTGGGCTGGGGTGAAGGGGGTCTATGTCCCCCCCTCCCCAGCACCAAGACTGCACCGTAGCAAGAGGTGAGGACCAGGGGATAGGGATTTCTCTCCCTCCTGGCCTCTTGAGGAAGGTTTTGGTGGCTTCAGGGGCTGCTGACACTGGGAAAGGCAGGGTGAGGCTGAGCTGGAGGGTTTATGGCTTTCTCTAGCCCCATGGGAAAGATCATAAAGCGCGGGGAGGAGGGGAATAAAGCTGTCAGCAGCCCAGCAGAAGTAACAGGCAGCAGCAGGAGATGCTCTATGGAGATATCAAACAGCTATCAGCAGTAGGTGCATGGGAAAGGAGCTGGAGGAGCTTGATTCCCATCTCCCTTGGGAGAGACACCGCAGGATACATCCACCCCAAGAAGCGGCTCTTGATTCGGCTCCCAGAAAGACTGTGCCTTTCCTAATTAATGTGCATTTCATTTACTCTGCATTATTTTTTTTCTCTTCGAGAATCAGCCCTGTGATAATATTTGATGTTGAATCACTTTGGAAACAAATATACCTACTTTATCATTCCCGTCTCAGCTCACACACACAATTTCTGTCTCAATGCCAGCAACTGCAGCAGATCTCAGCAACAAGTTTTAAAAATTGCTGATTTCTGAGCTAGAATAAGCCAAATTACTTGTCCAAAGGCATCTACAGGGCTTTTGAAAAAGGCTCAGGTTTCTCCAATGCATGGAGGAACTGCTGACTTGTGGGAGGGCTGGTCACCCTGGGGATGGTGAAAAGGGTCCCCCCCTGTCCCTGGCCATGGGAGGTGGAGGGACCAGCCAGGCCCTGCTCTCACGCCCCTTCATGTCCTTTGCACCCCCTGGCAGATCTGGTGCCAGGGACAGAGTACGGCATCGGGATTTCAGCCGTGATGGACACCCAGCAGAGCGTGCCGGCAACCATGAATGCCAGGACAGGTGAGTTTGGCCCCATTGCATGCTCCAAGTACAGCAGGCTCTTATGGCTCAGATGTCCCCATGGGATAGTCTGTGCATGGGGAACAAAGGTCTGCACCAACCTTCTCCCACAGAGCTTGACAGCCCCCGGGATCTCCTGGTGACAGCCTCCACTGAGACGTCCATCTCGCTAACCTGGACCAAAGCTACAGGTCCCATCGACCACTACCGTGTCACCTTCACCCCTGCCTCGGGGATGGCCTCTGAAGTTACAGTGCCCCAGGACGAGTCGCAGCTCACCCTCTCAGAATTGGAGCCCGGGACGGAGTATACCATCTCCATCATCGCCGAGAGGGGACGCCAGCAGAGCCTGGAGGCCACCGTGGATGCCTTCACAGGTAGACAAAGACAAGCTTGGATAGGGCCAAGGACATAGATCAGCACCCCACACTGGCATCTCCGCCAGCCTATCGCATCCCCAGCGCCGAAAGTCTTGAGATGGTGACGGGGATGAGAGCTGGGGGCAATCCATCCACATGGGAGGTCTGCAGTCCTCAGAAGGAGGATGGCCCTACTAGTGTGGGGATCCCATCCCCCTGGCCAGCAGCACTGAGCACACTTGCTTGGCTGGAGGCTTCCACAAGGACAAGGCAGGGTTGGGAGAACAGCCAGCCCATGCTGTCTTCTGCGGTCAGGGTGCTCTCTGTGGCCATAAGAAGGAAAAATCAAACCTTGAGGGATCTCACAAGAATCTCTGAGTTAAAAGCCTGCGGTCGAGAATTCCAGACAACCAGCACATACCATCTGCAGTGGGACAACCCCATCAACCACCATGTGGGTCTGGGATGGAGTGTGTTTACACATAGAGTTGAGAAAAGCACCATTTTTCTCCTTTCATTTCTGCCTCTCAATCCCAGCACAGTTTCAGATCAATGGAGAGCCCAGAGCTGCAGCTTTGCCACCTCTGTTGGGTATCATTTCCCATACAAGCACCGAGAACAACACGGAGACCAGGATCTGCAGACCACTGGGGTTACATCTCCCCTCTCCATCTTGCAGGGGTCCGGCCCATCACACAGCTCCACTTTTCCCAGCTGACATCCTCCAGCGTGAACGTCACTTGGAGTGATCCATCCCCACCAGCAGACCGCCTCATCCTCACCTACAGCCCCCGGGATGAGGAGGAGGCACAGCAGCTCGCGCTCGATGGCACCCGCAGGCATGCCAGCCTGACGGGCTTGCAGCCATCCACCGAGTACCTGGTGTCACTGGTGGCCATGCATGGCGCCATCAGCTCCGAGCCTGTCATGGGCTCCATCAAGACAGGTACCATGGGACCCCCCTGTCAGGCACGGGACCCCGCCGGGAGGGCGGGCAGGGGGACAGGGAGCGGACCTGCCTCCCACAGCTTTGCTTTCTGCTCCATCTTACCAGGCATCGATGCACCAAAGGATCTCAGGGTGGGCAATGTCACCCAGGAGTCCATGATCATCTACTGGAGTTCTCCCATCGCTGCCTTCGACCACTATAGAATATCCTACCGCGCTGCCGAAGGTAATGTGTCAGACCACCCTTGCTCGTGTCCTGAGCTCACAGCTTCCAACTCTCCCTCCATCTTCAGCTGTGATGCCAAAGCTCTTGGCTCTGTCCCCGCAGGGAGGACAGACAGCACCGCAATCGCCAGCGATGCCACCAAGTACGCCCTCCACCGCCTGCAGCCTGCCACCAAGTACGAGATCGGGGTGAAGAGCGTGCGGGGCCGGGAGGAGAGTGAGGTAGCCTCCATCACTGTGCACACAGGTGGGAAGGAACTCCTGGTGGGCAGGTAGCCATCAAACAGTGCCAGCCCCTGCTTGTACTCGCAATCAGGCAGCTGAGAGAAAGCTGAACCTCATGCCAGCCTGATACAAGCTCAAGACGATGAGCAAGGCTCATGAAGGCTCAGTGTGGACTTTTGAAGTATGTCTAAGCAGAGCTTTTCTCATATATGCATGGCTAGTCATGGGGGAGGGAGTGATAAATCTGTGTAATGGGCACGGGGAAGCCAGAGATAAGATGTTGGACAACCATGACAACCTTTCCTAAAGGGAGTACAGACTTCCAGAAATAATCCCTGGGGAAGCCCTGACACAAACAGCATCTGCTGCAAGAATAAAAACCTCTGTTATCCTCAGGCTCCTCAAAACCCCAAAAAAACCCCAACACCCTAATATCCCAGGCAGTGCATCAGGAAAACTGTGGAAGAGCAGCCCAGGTAGCAGAGCAGCACAAGCTACGACATCTCTGCTCTCCAGCTAGGGCAGCACAAGCAACGGGCCACAAGAAGCCCTTCCAGTTCATAGCCCAGTCTCTTAATGCCTCTGACTCTCTGAATCTGTCCCCCCCGCAGCCATGGATGCTCCCTTGGGGGTCACGGCCACCAACATCACCCCCACCGAGGTGCTGCTGCAGTGGAACCCACCACTATCAGAGGTGGAGAGCTACATCCTCATCCTCACCCGCCGCGCAGGTATGCTGAAACCCTGTCCCCCTCTGCCGCAAGCTTTGCTGGGGCTCCAGTTCAGGTCTCCCCCACTTCTCCTCAACCCCAAAGCCCAGGGCTCAGCAGGTGCCCTCCAAGGAGGGAGTTGGGAAGGAGCCCTTGCTTTGAGAGGGCAGCAGCTTGTGGGTGGCAGGGCTGTACCCCATCCCCAGACGCCAGCTCCTCCCATGCAGGTACCATGGCAGTGCCCCTCACCAAGCCTTGGAGCATGGCAGTCCATCTAGAAGGGGACTGAGATCTCCCCGCTTTACTAATTGGCCCACCAGCACCAACCCAGGGGCAAGCAAGTACCCATCCCACAGAAGCTCCATGTGTGGCAAACTCTGTGAAACACACTAATGAAGGGAAAGAAAGCATCAGGCAAATATAGGGACTATGGGAAAAATAAGACTTTCCTTCAGACCAAACACCAGCACTACAGCTCAGCTGCCACGCAATAGCTCATGGTGTTTCAGCAGTACAAGTGCTTTTCATCATTAGCTCGTATTCACAGACACATTTTGGAAAACCACCTTGAATATCTACACTAAGTCATCTCTTCTGGCTTACAGTTGCAGGAGAAACAATTCTTGTGGATGGAGTTAACCAGGAGTACCAGCTGACCAACCTCTTGCCCAGCACCACCTACACAGTCTCTATGTATGCCACCAACGGGCCTCTCACCAGCCAGACCATCAGCACCAACTTCACTACTCGTACGTACAATCACCTCCCCCACTGCCTGTTACGTGTCCTTAGCTATACGTCCATCCCAGGAAAAGTAGACAGCAAGGCTGAACCAAAGCTCTTGTCACATACATGTAGGTGTAGAAGTAGCCACGTGCCTAAAGGACACCCAAATACCAGTGCTGGACACAACCCAAGAACAGGATTTTAACCACAACAAGCATCAATCTTCATTGTCACTCTTTCAACAGCCATCCATCCCTTTCTTTGATTTTCCCCTGGAGGTGGTTTCCCAAGAGGACCCTTGGCCAGGTCTTTTTCTTGCCCAAGGCCGTAGTCCAGAAGAGCACTACAACCCATTTTGCTTACAAGAAGATTGACAGGCCCCATAGCACATGAATTTCAGAGCCATTACCCTTCTGAGAGCATGCAGGTAGAGGAGGACATTCAGAGGGTTTGCAGATCTCTATTCCAGGCTGGGGATGGGTAATGTGGTCTGGAAACTGAGGGAGAGGATGGACTTTGGGCTGTAACTCAGGGCTGCAATGTTGAATCCCAGTGCACTGAGTTGGGAAGTAGGGCTGGAGTGGTTGTGTGTGAGAACTTGCACTTCCCTGGGTCCCTATCCCCCCTTGCAGTTTTGGATCCTCCAACAAATCTGACCGCCAGCGAAGTCACTCGACGGAGTGCCCTGCTCTCCTGGGTGCCTCCCGTGGGGGAGATCGAGAACTACATCATGACCTACAGATCCAGCGATGGCAGCCGGAAGGTGAGTGAGTCCTCACAAAGAGAGAGGCTTATTAAGTCAAGGAATAGCATGACCATGGAGAAATGAGCAGGAGAAACCAAACAAAGCAAAAGAACGATGCTCATTAGGTCAGGGAGAGACCAGAAGGGCAGATGCTACTTCCTACATAAACAATATTTTAGATAAACAATTGGAAAAAAACAGGAAAAGATTGCCTAGGGCAAAATGTTTACGCATACCTGCAGGTCTGGGCAAAGAGGGCATGCCTGGGAAGTTTGGAGGAACAGGAGAAATTCACAACTTGTGAAATACATGCAAGATGAGGAAATTATGAAAAATGAGAAAATGATGCCGCCAACAGAGATGCTAAAAATGCTATTTGCCCTGCTTGCAAAAAGGAAGATGGGTACAGACAGCTAATTAATCCTGCAATACAATATATTTGATTATTTAATGAATGTGTCTATATCTGCCTGTCTGGAAGAGCTGCTACAAATGCTGTCAGAAATACGTCACTGCAAATAGTCTCATTTCCTTTGCTGGTATGACTGGCTTGCAGCAGCCAAAGGATAATAGCTTTGCAGAAGGGGTTCAATATAATGCTATGTGGCATTGGCTGACGACCAGAAAAATTAATGTGACAGGAACTGACAGAGTCAAAACCAGCTGATAGCCAGGTTTGGCCAGCTCTGCTCCTTGAGATGTCTGGCCCATCTGTCATGCCCCGTATTGAGGGCACGCAAATCCCAACGGAGCTGGTAAATAGATCACACAGGCTGCAAATATTTAATCCTCCTGTGTCCAAACAAGCTAGCTTTCTCCCACCCAAACCATCCCAAAAGGTTGACCTCATCTTGACCTAGTCCAGGGGTGTAAGCAGCCATGCAACGCTCCTTGGCCAGGCACCAAGGGCTGCAGTAGTTTGTGGCTTCCCTTCCCTCCTCACTTGCTCTTTAGGCTCCCCATCGCTTTTCTTATCTGTTGCTCTTGATGTCTACCTCCTTCTGGGACCCATGTACAGGAGCTGATTGTGGACGCTGAGGACACGTGGATCCGCCTGGAGGGGCTTTCTGAGACCACAGAGTACACCGTGCACCTGCAAGCTGCCCAAAATGCTGTGCGGAGCAGCTTCATCTCCACCACTTTCAGCACAGGTGAGGACTCGCACAGCGTCCACTTGGCCAGGGGGAGCTTAGCCCGCATACTGTGCTGGTAGACCCAGACTGCTTTGATGGGCTTTTCCTTCTCAACCATCATTTCACCATAATCCACAGAAAGGTACATTCATTTCCATGACCCACAGTGCTGCTCTGCTACATAAAGTTAATGGCTGAAGTACCTCTACTACAAACACAAAGTCCTGACCAGGCCTTTTGCCTTTCCCTTGTCCCTCCTCAAATGCATAAATAGAGGGGAAAAACCCACAAAAGTCAACAACACATGTCAACACGTACGCTTTTGGAGCGAGTGGGGAGAGACCCAGCTGGTCTCTCCACACTGTAGGCATGGTTCAACCTCTCACAAGTATCAAGCAGGCGCATCTCCACCACCATCGGTGGAGTTACAGACAGCAGAGCCAGCATGCCCACAGGACGGTGGTCCCACCAATTTCATCTATTTGCATTATTCCTTCCCATTCTAATTCTAGAGAAGTCACAATTCACTAAGGCAGTAGGAATTGTTTCCCTTCCAAATCAAACAGTGGGCATCCACCACCACCGTAACCCTCACAGACAGAGTGCTTACACTTGCAAGGATGAATCTGGCATGAAAATGTCACCATTGTCCCCATCCTTTGCAACCATACACATTAGAATTGTGCAAAGCTCACCCTCTTTGAAAAGTCTTGCTAGGCCAGGGCACTTAACAGACAGAGTGCATTTTCTTCAGGGCTGAATCCAGTTATGTTTATCCTGGGCTTCAAAAGCACTAAGAAGATTGAAGATGATGTGCACCAAAATTCCTCCCATCCATGCTGCCAGTTCAATTAGGGGAGTTTTCTGAATCAGCTGTGGATACACTTCCCCATCACGGTTACATGTAAAGATCCCTCCACCTGCTTTTAAAAGATAATAGAAACTGTTTATGTCAGCAAAAAATGAAAAACACTCTTCTCTAATGCATCTACAGACCAGGCATTCCTGTTCTTCTCACCTCTTACACGGACACTTAAAGCCAGTGCAATTCAGGCAGGTGATGGAAAAATGCGTAATCTTACGGGCTGTTTGGGAGTCAGGGACGAAGCTGCATGGGGACAGCTTCTCCGCTGGGATAAAGCAGCAGAAACCCACTCACATCGGGCAAGGAGAGCACCGCTTCCATTCAACACGTGTCAGTGTTAGAGACACCATGGCCATCTGATGCAGCATCTGAACACAGGTTTAATCTGCTTTTAGGATGAAGATAGGCATCAGCAAGAAACCAGTTTCTCCCCACTTACCCTATGTATCGATGAGGCAGAAGCAGCCAGGAACAAACATTGAGGCAATGCAATCCCTGGGCGGAACCCCTCAGTGAAGAATCGGGGTTTGGGATTCTGTTCACTCAGTCAGCGTATCAAAAAAAAAAAAAAAGACAAAAAAAAAAAAGCTGAATTTAAATTGTTTTGCTTCCTTCTGCTCACAGTACACATCCCGGGGTTCTTCTGTTCCCTCTGACATATTAATAGCTCAGCCTCTTTGTTTCATGTTTGCATAAGGTTCTTGGGGAATTGTATACAGATGGGACAAACGGAAGAAACAGATACAGTATTTATAATTTATAGTGGTTTGAAACATCTTTCAAGGTCTCCTTGGCTCTTAAAGATATGAATATAAATTAAGAAAGAAGTAATCTCTGCAGAGCTCAGGGGAGCCTGAAGTGGTTGTCTTTGAAGCAGTTTTCATTGTTGGATACTATAAAATGCAAACACTGTCTCACCAGACCTTGTGCTACAGATCACAGAGATGGGAAAAAATAGGGGATATTCAACATTTGGACAAAGCGACGACCTCTGAGTCTTCAGGTCGCAGGGCTGGGAGGGCAATACACCCAAATGGGAAATTACAGACAATTGTCCTTCTGTGCCCTGGTACTACGGGGTATCACGCAGCTGTGATGGATGCACACCATGTCCTTCACATCCCCTCAATGCGTAACTGACAAGCCCTCGAAAGCCACATCAATGTTGCTGCATTCATTTACCACATCATCTGCATGTGCCAACAGTGAAGAGAAAGATGTAATTCCTTTTGCATTAAATGAGAAAAAAAAATAACACAGAGACTGAGATGATCCAGAGATTGAGATTATCCCAATACTTCTAACATCTCATAGTTAAGACTCTCCTAAACTCTGATTCCCCAAATGAGATGTTTCTTCATTAGAGGACACCTGAAGCACAACCACACAGCCCATGCTGCCCATCTCTAGCACCTTGCATGGCCTAATTCCTGCTCATTTGCAAGTGACAATCAGCCGGCGTAAGTCCACCATCATTTCCAAGGGCATGGATCAGAAGAATCTCTCTGGAATCAGTCAAGTCATAAAACCTGTTTGGAGCTGGCAATCCTGAGAGGAGAACAGGTTTTGGTATTTTCACAGCTGTCTAAATACACTGGTAACAGCTTAAACCCCAGGGTTTCAGACATGGTCCAGAAAGATGGCCCAAGAAGTGATAGTCCTCATCATTCATAGTGATGTTACCATGCACCTTTCCAATCTAGGACATATAGGAGATTAATTAATATAGGCACACATTTTTTTCCATTAAATCCTCTGATGTTGTTGACAGATGTAAAGTCCCACTGCCCTGCAGAATAACTTGGGACATAGAAGCCAAGCTAGACTTCTCCTGGATCATAACCAGTGGGGCCCGAGGCACGTGGAAAGGGTGTCCCTCTGCTTAAATTTTGCTCTGTTTAATTTCATAGGCGGCCGTGTCTTTGCTAACCCTCAGGACTGCGCCCAGCACCTGATGAATGGAGACACGCTGAGCGGCATCTACACCATCTCCATCAACGGGGACCTCAGCCAGCGGGTGCAGGTCTACTGCGACATGACCACCGATGGAGGCGGCTGGATTGTGAGTAGCCATGTGGTTGTCCTATGCGTTGTCCCCGTGGCAAAGTAACCGAGCCTTATTCTACCAGCACAGCCAAGCACCACGCTGCGCGGGAGCGACAGCAGGCTGAATATCGCACGCTTCATTTCCCACGCCATGGGGAATGGCCCACGCTCCAGTAATAATAGTTACACTTGGAGAAGTGCCCTTTGATTTATTTGACATGTTTTCAGTGCTTCTGGAGAGCGAAATCCGAGAGCGAAGCTGATTTATTGCTCTAGAAATGAAATTAATGGTCAATAGCTTTCATGCTGCCTGCAGTAGGAGGGTGTCGGGCATCACCCCGATTGCGTCTGTACAGGAGCATTTGAGAGGCAAATGCCTGCTTGGCTTTTGAATTGCAGAAACATTGCTTGTCTTGACATAGATGGACTGACAGCTTAAGTAAATAATGATCTGGTGCTTTGATTATATTCGTGTCAAACGCTTACTTACATGTATTACACAAAACTCCACTAGATGTAGAGTCGAAACAAAAAAAAATGGGCTTCCTCAAATGCTGATTTCTAGCATGGATGTTGTTTTAGCCAGGAAATTTCCTTTCATCTCACTCTGCCTCAGGGCATCCCCTTGGATACCACAGAAAGAGCCAGCCAAAAGCAAGATCGCGTGCTATAAAACCAGAGGCATCACATGCTGGGTAGAGGAGAAAGCTTGAAGGCTGATTCCTGCCTTTTATGATATTGATTTGCCTTGGATGCCACCTAACATCTCTTCAGTTCGTCCACCTGCACATGAGTTACTTACATGGCTGCAACTAGCACTAACCAGATGGATATTGCAATTTTCTCCCCTGAAAGGCACAATGGAAAAACAAAGTATTGTCTTTATTTCACATGGCCCAAAGCCCAGCAAGGCTGTCCATCTTCTTCTTCATGCCAATTTTCATCCCGGTTTTCCCCCACCTCAGGTGTTCCAGAGGCGTCAGAACGGGCTGACCGATTTCTTCCGGAAATGGGCAGATTACCGGGTTGGCTTCGGAAACTTGGAGGATGAGTTTTGGCTGGGTAAGACCTGCACCAGTCATCTTTCATGGATGCATCAGACCCGAGCTCCCTGTGCAACGTGCTGCTCACCCGTGCCAGCTGTTGGCTCCTTGCCTTTCAGCCCACTCCTCTACACTCTCCTCTGGACAGTTTTCCCTCCGTTCATTCCCTGCCCTTCACATTAGAAAGTCACTCATGGCCACATCGCATAAAAGCACATGGGTGAAGGCCTGCAGCTCCCTCATTTGCTCCTCCTAGGAGAGAAGGGGGTACTCTGGAGGTCTTCACAGACCAAAACCCATCATCCTCCTTTGGATGACTACAGGTTGCATTGGTGGCTTCTGCGGCTCATGGACCTCACCTGGCCTTGGCAAGCAAGCTCATTGCCCAGAAAAAGGGTGACTCAGCACAGCTCTGAAATGGAGTGTGCCCCCCCTTCCCCCCCCCAAAAAATGAACATGAGCCAAGGCTAGCCCTGCAGCATAAACATGCTCTGGTTTATACAGGAGCTTAACAGCAACATGAGAAGCACCAGGGACCCACAGCTGAATGCCCCCCAGCTTCAGCAGCATGTAGAAAGCTGAACCAGGCCCAGACCCCACCTCTCGTAGCCACAGGGAAGTGAAACTTGAGTGGGAACAGAGAGCTCAGACCCCACCAGCGCCAAGAGAGACAAAGACTTAACCAGAAGTGCTGTTGCTCTGTTGTTACTTTCCTCACTCTCATTTCCCACAGCTATTTTCTTTGCTTAGAGCTTTTTCTGTTTGCTCGTGGTGCAGATCCAGGCACTGGGTCTCACCGGGTGTCTCATTGTTTGTCTCACCAGGCTTGGACAACATCCATAAGATCACATCCCAGGGGCGCTACGAGTTGCGAATAGACATGAGGGACGGCCAGGAAGCAGCGTATGCCTACTACGACAAGTTCTCCATCGGCGACTCTCGGAGCCTGTACAAGTTGCGAATCGGGGACTACAACGGCACTTCAGGTACAACCTCAGTGCTAGCCAGTAGCAGGGAAATCCCGGGACTGGTGGGTCTGAAACTGCACAGGAAATACCAGCATCACCTCTTACCTGTCTGGAGCAGCAAGACACAAACCCACAGCCCTTTCTGCCTTCCTGCAGTCCACCATGTACACCAGGCTGACAAATCCTGCTAAGGACATGGGGAATATTCCATTAGGGATTAGATATTTAACATCAGAGGCATTGCTGTTCAGATAACCAGGTCGATCATCAGAGGTGTCATCCCACTTGACAACCACCACAGCTCGCTATTGATGCCATGCTGGAGGGTGTATTTATCACCCTTCCACAGCAATGGAAAAATCTGAAATCCTCTGTAGCATTTCCTCATGCAGAGGTCAAACGCTGGCTGGTTTTGCAAGGACACTGTCACACCTGCTTTCTTGGTCCATGAAGCAGTGCTAGGTTTTGCCCACCAGAACACAGTGGGTGAAGGATGATGGTGGAAGGGCTTGCAGGTCTCTTCCCCAAGAAGGTGGACAAGGGTAGAGCTGCAGCCACCTTAGCTGGGATAGGCATGCCCAGGGCAAGCCTGCATGACACAGACAAAACTTCACTGCCCTGCACTTAGCGAGGAACCCCACACCCCATCTAAGATGCAGGAATTTTCCCATACAATATCTGGTAGTTGCCACTGGAAGAGACAGGGATCTTGGTTGCGTCCAACACAGCACTTGCTCTGACCTTAAGACCCAGGGCATGAGGCACCTAACCTGTTGCCAGAAACGCCAGTAACAGTGCTGCAGACACGATTCCCTCCCTTCCCCTACACAAGCTCTTCTTCTAGCCATCCAGCCAAGGAGCTTCTGCTCCACCTTGAGCACAGAGAGCCAAGACTCGCCAAACGTTCATTGCTGAGAGGTTTTCTAGCAAGCCTCTCAGGGGCTGGACTGCACACAGCTAGCAAGGGTCCACTTTGTATTTTCTCAGGGACTACCAAGAAGCATATTAAGAATGTCTCCTAGAAGTACATCACTCAATTGTCATAATGACCGTATTTCACTGTGGCTCTTCTTTCACCCAAAAGCAGCTCTTTGTTCCTTAGTCAGGAGGGGAGATGAGGTTGGTGGTTTTGGTAGAATAAGACATCGCACACCTTCCAAAATGTTCTTCCCCTTATCCACAGAGAGAAAAGAAGGCCAAGCATCTTGGTTCAAGAGGCAAAAGCTTTGTCTCCTTCGGAGGAAAAGTGCCCTTTAGCTAACAGGAGGGAAGGAGAATGAAAGTATCCTGAAGTTACATAGCAGATCCAGGCTTCAGGAGATCAGAGATGCCCAAATCTAGGATTTAACTAATTTCTGAAACACTGAAATTCAGATCCAAACCCAGTACAACATTTTACCCATGAAACCCAAGCAGCCTCTAAGGTTTGCTGTGGTCTGTACTGATCTTAAACAGACGGCAGAGGACCTCAGATGAACCAATTGTGAGCAATTCCAGTTAATATTATTCCCAGACTTTGAGCTGCTTGAGCTGTTGATCAACAGGCAACCACATTTACCAGAATGTCCTAATTTCCTTGTGAAGAGACCAGCTGACTCAGGCTCCATCACCTCTAATGGCACTTCTTTCCACAGGGGACTCCCTCAGCTATCACCAGGGCCGCCCCTTCTCCACCAAGGACAGGGACAACGACGTCGCCGTGACCAACTGTGCCATGTCCTACAAAGGGGCCTGGTGGTATAAGAACTGCCACCGCACTAATCTCAACGGCAAGTACGGAGAGTCCCGACACAGTCAGGTAAGGGCAGAGCTGGGCTGAAAGCCTTCAGCATTTCTTCTAGGGGTGCAACCAAGCACAACAGCAAGCCCAGGCTTTGGCCGGGGCTGCGTAGTCGGTGCACCAGGGTCAGGAGCACCACTGAGGTGACCCCACATCAGCTGGAGCAAAGGGAACCACCTTCAGGCCATTTGGGCTGGTGCTTTGTGCCTTATGCTTGCTGCCAGGGACATTTACCATGGCTCCTTGATGAGTTACATTAAAAAAAAAAAAATACATACATGAAATCTGAGCAGTGGAGAAAAAGACATCAAGCCAGAGCAGAAGAGCTTCTTGCTCCCACTGTAGCAGGACCTTCCTTCTGGCTTCTCTATGGTCATCAACCCTGTTTCCTTCCTCTCCTGCTCTAGTTTCTTTATTAGGGTCTTTCTTTACTCTGTGCCTTTCTCTCCCTCCTGCCAGGGGATTAACTGGTACCACTGGAAAGGCCACGAGTTCTCCATCCCCTTTGTGGAAATGAAGATGCGACCTTACAACCACCGTAACATCTCTGGGAGGAAGCGACGGTCCCTACAGCTCTGAGCCAGCCGAACCCCCTCCCACCTCCCACCACCTGACCTTTTCTGTCATTTGTTTGTATTTTATAATATGAAAAGGGGAAAAAAATATTACTACTCATCTGAGATAGCAACCTGCCCCTCACAAGTGCTGGAGGGAACCACGGCACAAGCAAAGGCCGTGATGAAGGAACGATCTCATTGCTTTGCATCTGTCCCAGAGAAATACCAAATTTCCAGTCTCCCTACCCCAATACTCTGGCCCTTAACATGAGAAGAAAGAGAGAGAAAGAGACAGATTTTTTGATATTTTTTTAAAAGACATAGAAATTCCCAGCAAACCCTGCTAGAAATATTTGTCACGGGGCTCGTGGCAGAAACCTTCCCCACAGGGACCTTGGTGCGGCCATTTCCACCCCAGTCACAGCCAGGGACACCCATCCTCTCCCTGCTTCCCTGTCCCCTCCTGGCAGGGAGGTGCCCAGCCATCCTGTAGACACCAATTCTTCCAGCAGGCATCTCTCCTTCTGGCCTGGTCATCCCTTCCCTGCGCACAGGCACTGGATGCATGGAGACAAAGCAAGAATGAGCAAACACAAGGCTCATCCCATCCTCATTTTTCACAGACCACACCAGGAGGGCTTGGCGAATCTCTGCATATGCAAGCAAACTCTAGAGAGCCCACAGCTCACGTGTTGACCCCACCACAGCCAAAGTCATCCTCCTGTACATGGGGTGCAGGGGAACAAGAGCTGCTCCACCAGCCCCAACCTGCATCATCCACTCTCCCAAGCTGAACTCATCCCACTCCAGGTGCACAACATCTTCCTGGGTTATGCTGAGCTTGATGGAGAAGAAAGGAGTCAAATTAGAGGACTTGGGAGAAAAACCACTACTTGTGGTCTTGAAGTCTAGGGCCCGTTTCCTCTGCTATTTCTACATTCCATCACACTGTCTCTCACTGAGGTCACTGGTCCCAAACCAAAGAGTCTCAGAGACAGAGCAGCAACCAAAAGAGCTATCACAGAACCACAGCCGAGTCTGAAGCCGGCAGCTAGCACAGCCCAGGTGCTCTTGTTCAGGGACCTCCACGCCCACAGGGAAGGAAGACGACGCAGCCAAGGGAGAAAAGCGTAAGCTGAGAAATGCTCATTCCCTTCCTTCTCCTACACCGTCCCTCTTTGCCACCATCACAAGAGGAACACAAATCTCAGTGCCTTGGTATCACTCTCTCTCTAACAGGAAATCAGCTGTTTCCCCTCCTGGAAGGAAGGCTTAGTCCATTCAGATTTTGGAGCACTTCAAGACCTTTGGAAGAATAGATGAGTTTGCTCTTCCCGTCCTTAACTTCTCCTGTCTCAGGAAAGATGGACGCTTTGGATAGCTCTGGCTGTGCTCTGTTGTCATTGACACCACATCCACGTAGCCTGAACAACCACAACGTTGGAGTCACTCCTCTGCTGAGGGATCTGATCAATGCTGGGCATTGTCACTGGCCTGGTCGCAGAGAAGGGACTCATCTCCACAGCTGAGGACAATGCAGCTCATCGCTGGGTTCGCAGCCAAGGGAACGTTACAAATGCTAAACACTGCTTTTTGATTTTATCGCACCGAAACTGCTCTGTCTCAAGAAACATCTTCCAGATGGCAACATAAAGGCATCTTTGCAGTAGCTTATAATTCAGGCTAGTGTCTCTTTCATGGTCATGCTCCTGGATTTTCTGACATTACTCACCATGGCTGCAGAGCTGAAGAAGGGCATTAAGTGGGAAATACAGCCTCCTTGTCCATGGCACGTACTGGCACACGAAATCACAGCTAACCCCAAGGCCAGGATTAGATACAGGGTCCAGCCCTGCAAGTGGTTGTCTTACAAGCTGCAGTCTGACCTGGAGGAAGGATGCTGTAGCTCAGCAACATCTCATGTGTAAATGAGGCATCTCTTCTTACTTCCCATCAGCATCATATCAGGCAAGAAGTCAACCAGATGAGGAACACGTCAGTCAGAGAGGCTGCAGATGACAGGATCTCTTGCAGGACATGGCCAATGTCACAAATGGCAGCATGTCACACCTCCCAAGCAACTTGCCCTGTTTTAGGTCCCAAAAGCCAACAAGAAGCAACAGATAGAACTGATTAAAACCTAAGAAACCTCCTAGTATACCTGCAGAGTAATATATTTCCCAGCATCACCAAGAGTTTATAGGCAAGAAGTGTCCTAACAAAAGCGCTATAGTGCAGTGGTTATAACTGGGAGCAGAGATTGGCAGTAGATGGCATTCTTCGCCTATCTCGGATGGTGCTATTTGCTTATCTACCCAGGTGAGAGGAAGAGACGTCAGTGAAAACACACGAGATCATCATTCGCAATCAAGTGGAAGGCAAGCAGCCTCTCATTTCAAAAGCAGAAGTCAAACACAAAATCAAAACATGCCAAGCTTTCCCAGACGGTTGAAAAGAAGATGCTCAAAAAAGGCTGATTATTCTCTAAATAGATTTACTGACGTATATCTCTCCCTCCCTGCTCATATCTGTCATCCCTTTTACAAGACCTGTAACTGGGATGAGAGGGCTCAGTTGACAACTCCATCGTAGAGTCTGAAGGACGCCCTTGGAGATAATATCCGACCTTCCGGTGTCATTGTATACCAGCGCCAGTCTCTGATCTCACACATGGTACTGGGGTGTTGCCTTTCCATTACCTTGGTGAAAAGCAGTTGCTAAAATCTTTTAAAAGACAGACTTTTACACGTCATAGCATTCTCCTGTTGATAATCTAACCCAAGCCTAGGCAAACAATCAGCAACTACGAGCTGGTCATTTGACCATTGTCCCTTGTTCACATTGTCCATATACAAATGCAGTTTTCCAGAAATATATTTTTCACCATTGCCTGATTATTTTTTTTTCAACAAAGCTCCTGCCAGCGGTTTCAAGCAAATTTGTGCTCAACATTGATGCTACAGAACAGCCAGGTGATTGAGCCTCTCTTTACCCTCTATCACTGGTTGAGGAAGCCCTATTTCTGAACGCATTCTCCAGCCAGAGCAGGTTTGGCCCTGTCCCCCATCAGCATAGCGTTGAGACGGAATGCAGTCTCAGCAACAGGCCTGAAATTCCCAGAAACCCAGCCCGGATCCTGCACAGAGCTCATCTCGAGAGTCCTTGGCTCCAGCATGTGAACCATCACTGGGCTCTGGTGGCTTCTCTGCCATACAACTCTTCTGGCCTAGGCTGGCCCCAGACCCCCAGGTGAACTTGAAGCTGTACCCAAACCACGCCATCCGCTGTGAGGTGCCAGCTCCCATGACATCAAGCAGAGAGAAGCGCGTTAGGTCCTTCACCCAGCAGAGCACCACATGTGCCCGGGACCCCTGCAGCCTTTCAAAGCCACCTCTTATTTCTAACCCTAAAATCCTGGAAGGAAACACCGAGGGACTTTCTCATCTCTCACCCAATTTTGTTTTCCCTGTTTCCATTCCTGCCAGACCTCCAAGCCTACCTTCCCACCACGCGCTGCATCAAAATGTAACCAAAGAAAAAGAAAAAGGGGGGGCTTGAAATGAAAAAGCTGCTTTTGGTAAAGTGATCCTTAAGACAGCATTTATAAAGGAATAGTCTGGGGAAGGAAAGAGGCCAGGTCCTCCCCAAAGGTAGCTGGGTTTTGGCAGAAGGATGCTGGATGAGTGTCTACACAAAGGCTGGGGAGAAGCCTTTGCTCCTACTCCTTATCTTTGCATCGCTTTACCGTGTGCATCTCAAGCCAGGTACTAAACGCACTCTTTTCCCAACCTCTTACCTCCTTCCCAAAGTGATGCTTACGCCAGGTGAAGCATCAGGGTGCTGAAAGTACAGCTCACACCACCTCTGTCCCCACCTCTGCAGCCGGGGAGGGCTCGGGCAGCGGTGTCTCCACACTGAGGTGGCCCTGGGCCAGCAACAGGCTTGGAGTGACCTGGCGAAATCTAGCAGGAGCCAGCGCATTGCCTCCATGCCAGCACGTGCCCTTCATCCAGATGAAGAGCAGCCCTGCTGTGTCCCCACCATTGCACCCGGGGTGGCCACGCACCTCCTGCCCTATAGCCCCCAGCAACACCCACATGGCTTGACCTTACAGACACCGCCAGCAAAGAGCTCTCACCCAAAAAAAAGAAAACTTTAATTCATGCTTACACCAACTAACAAAGGGCTCTGTCCTGGGGCCACACAAGAAGCCCATCCCTGTTTCTGCCAACCAGGCAGCCCGGGATGGCCATCAAACCCAGCCAAGCCTCTTGGGGACCACTGGTACCCTCCAGGGTCACCTTCTGCCTTCCCTAAACCTGATGGTGCCCAGATGGTGGTGGCAGCTCCTTGCCCCTTCCAGAGGAGAGGTTTGGGGTAAGATGGAGGGAAAGGCTCTTCCCTGGGGAGATGTTGATGCCCACAGCCACCTTGGTACCCAACCTGCAGCTCTCCAGGTGCCAGTGGTTTCTCAGAAGGATGCGACACGAAGACATCAACAAACAAACAAGCAGCCCCCTGTGTACAGGTGTTACCCTGGAATTGTGTTTATTACTTTGAACAAATTAAAAACCATAAATAGGAAGAAAGAACAGAGGCAACGAAATCCCTCGGATGGGTTCTGATGAACTCAAACAGAAACCAATGCAACCAAATGAGGGGGAAGATAAAAGCAAATAAACGCATAAATAAATAATATAAATAAATAATATATTAAACAACCCTCCCCACCCTGTAATGAACAGGTAGCTCAGAGAATGGGATCGACGCTTGTTAACCATTGTTAACTAGTATTTTTAGTCCTGACCGCTCTTAGGCTATGTATAGTTCCTTTTTTTAATGCATTTTTCTATACATTAATAAAAGATACCGAAGGAGTGAGCCGTGTGCCTGTCCGGGAGTGGGAAGGGAACGGGATCCTGGTGCATCTCAGTCCGGCACCATCGCAGCCCTAACCTCATGCCAAGCGGGGACGTGCATCTCCTGTCCCTAATCCTTGTTTATCCCATGGGAGCAGGAGCTCGTTAGCGGGGTCTTGCAGATGCTCACCCTCCTGCAAG